GTTATTGTCTTTATCCTGCAAAAAATTTTATACATTTTTTTCTCCCAATCGTTGAATTTGTTTTTGCAAGAAATCAACATGACTTACACGTGCACCGCAATGAGGAACCCAAATTGAACTGTGACGTAAACAGTAATTTTACATAATCGTTCACTCGCAAAAGAAACAATTTACTAGGAGACTGTATACGTCTAGTATACGTATACGTATTTTATGTCACAGAGGGAATTCAAGGGGACGTCATTTTGACACATGCATTTACTCAATCAATCAATACATATCGTAATATGTACCCTCGGCTGTCCCATTACATTCGCCCGTATTTCGGCATGACACGTCAGGTCATATATTATATGTAACAGTAAGTTTTAATAATCGGGGATTATATAGAATCTTTGTGTTTTTCAGGTTTTGTGCATTATCACTTAAACCAATAGTGATAAATAGATACACTTCAAACCAGTAAACGTCTGAAATCTGTACTCGGCTGTACTGATTTTTACTCGACCAGTCTGAATTGGTCTGAAATTAACTTGATAATACTCGACTGTAGTCAACCATACTTAACAGTCTGAACTTGAACTCGACCAGTACTTAACCATTTTATACGCGTCTGAACCAAGCTCGACCTAGTCTGAACCATACTCGACCTAGTCTGAACCATACTCGACCTAGTCTGAACCATTCTAGACCAAGTCTTAACCAACATAGACCTAATTTTTCTATCTATCTATTGTATTTCATCAATTTAGGAACTGTTTTTAACAACAGCTATTTGCCCTGGCTAGAAATTTGAGCAACAATTTGAAATTTAAAATTTATTCAATATAGCATTGAAACCAAAATTTCACAATAAACATAATATAACTTCAACACCATATCCATCAACACTTACATATATATATATATATATATACATATATCACCTTTGAAATAAAAATAAAACAATCTGATCAAATAATCTCAAAACTGAATTGTGACTAATGTTATTCAAAATTTTTGAATGTCTCAAATAGATTTTTGGTTACTGGACAATTTTCACCATTAACATAGATTGATGGTGTCAGTTGAGGTTAGTTAATAATGCAGTGACCATTTTTTTTATTAAAATATATATAAAATAGTATATAAAGCAACTGACTAAATTTACAAAATCTCACCTTTGTTTTGTAAAACCAAAAATATAATATAATCATGATAAAAGAACTTCTATAGCAATCCTTAATAACCTTTTAAAAATGAAATGTGTTCTAAAGTTTAAAAAATTAAACTTTAATAACTTTTGTCAATATTAAAGACATGACATACAAGAAGCACTTTAATAAGGTTTAATTACCTCAGTAAAGTATTATCCTGTCCAGTACTATAGAAAAAAATTCACATAATGTTTTATTGCATATAGGAAAAAAACCATCACTAGAAGTCAGCAAATAAAATTTTCACCTCTTTTATACATGTGTACAAGCTTAAGTAACCATGTAACCTCAAGTTTCCAAAATATTCTATAGAAACACCAAATAAAAAAATTATGGTGCTTTAAAACACTCAAGATATATTTTTATCACCCAGCATTTTTTACTGCATTTAAATGTAGGATTAATTAGATATAAGAAGGTGTGGTATGAGTGCCAATGAGACAACTCTCCATCCAAGTCAAAATTTATAAAAGTAAGCCATTATAGATCAAAGTACGGTCTTCAACACGGAGCATTGGCCCACATCGAACAGCAATCTATAAAAGGCCCCAAAAATTACTAATGTAAAACCATTCAAACGGGAAAACCAACGGTCTAATCTAAATAAAAAACGAGAAACGAGAAACACTTATGAACCACATCAACAAACGACAACTACTGAACATCGTATTCCTGACTTAGGACAGGTGCAAACAATTGAAGCGGGTTTAAACTTTTTAATGGTACCAATCCTTCACCCTTATCTAAAACAATAGTGTAACATTACAACATAGAAAGACACACTATAACATATCAACTGAAATGGCTTAACTCAATCAAAGGACATATTAACACCAGTGAACATACACTGAACAAATAAATTTGATCTATGATACAATGTAAATACAAAATAAATAAACTAAGGGAAGATTGCCTACAACTGTCAAATTCAAGGGAATATTGTTCTTCAATCCATTTTCGTATGCAACCGGATGACACGTACTATGATTTGGTGGTATTACACCTGTATGTAACCATGAAACCTATGTAGTTTTTACTTAGGAATTTAGGAAAACTAAGTTAAAAAAGACACAAATGCCAAAGAAGAAGCACCTTAATAAGGTTTTATAACCCTCAGTATAGTTGGGATTTTTAGGTAAAAGTGAATCTTTTTTTAACAAAACTCTAAAACTGTAAAACTTTAAAATCAATATAATTAAATTAATATATAAGATCATTTGATTTAACTATCTCTATTTTATTAAATCTGAGAATCGTGTAAGGATGTAAAATTCTGTTTTATATATATATAATATCTTCATTTTATTGTGGCTGTTGTCATGTCAGTTAAAACGAGATTTATTTTAACAGTTAGATTTAAATAAAGTAGAGGTTATTTGGTCAAGTATGGTTCAGACTGGTCGAGTATGACTTAAGACTGAAAAAAATAGATCGAGTACAGGTCGCGAATGGGTTAGGAAGACTATTTCAGACTGGTCAAGTCATACTTCAGACTATTTTTAATGGCAAATATAAGGGTCAAGTACAAATCAGTAAAGTCGAGTATGGTTAAGACTGGGGTCGAGTAATGTCGAGTAAAATTCAGACCAATTCAGACTGGTCGAGTAAAAATCAGTACAGTCGAGTACAAATATATGCTATTTCAGACTTCAACTGGTTTGTAGTGATATAATATATAATGCCTGAAATTGACATGTGATTTATTATAGTATCGAACATTTAAATAATAGTTATTTTGCAAATTCCCTATAATGATTTAAGGGGTTTAATTGATAATAAAAACAATCGTAGAATCCAATATAGACAATTAATTATGTGTAATTATTATTCGTTGCAAATGTAAGTGAACAGTTTACATTACTGTTCTACTAGGTAAATCTGAATTCAGTGGTTTTTTCCGGTGATAATTTACCTAAATGTTGGACCGCATTAGCTTGCAAGCAAATACATATGGCACAGATGTTGCTTGGTATCGAGCAAACGTATGCCTAAAAGTTATTGCAGATTGCAGAGGGAAAACCATCACTATGACAACTTTTACATTGATGAAAAAGAACCAAGGAAAGAAGACAAAACTCCTACTTATTAGTATCTAGTAAAGTAAAAAGTCAGTAACTAAATTGTTTTAAGGCTCGTATTATCCCTTATTTTGTATACATATAACCATGATTACTGTCTTTACATCATAGTTCAACAACTAGAGCTGGTGAGGATAGATTTAAAATCTAAAAAGTTACTTTGCAAAAGGACCGAAAAATGGTCAAATCAATCTACGGATGCTATAATAATAGTTTCTTTAAAATGTCAAAATCTATTCGACAATTTTAGAAAGGTTTGTTATAAATCATGTCAGGACGGAATTATTGATTATTGAGCTTATGATACCGTGGGGACTTATAGTCTACCAATAGAAGTAGCTTTACATGTATTGATTAAGTAAATGAAGACTCCAGACATATAATGGTCATTGTTCACGAATAGACTGAAAAACGATGTCACCTGGCTATAACACATGTAATTTTCCTTGGATCATACACAAAGAATCAATTTGACTAACTAGTACTGTTGAAATAAAAAAAAATCATTTTTTTTAGACGAGCTAAAATCAGCTTCATAATGTTTATGATTAGGTTTTTTACAAAATGTGGATGTTGTGGCAAAACCCGATGTTATAAAAATAGATGTGCATGTCGAAAAACAGGGTAAATGTGCAGTAGTAGATGTCATCTAAATTATATTTTAAAATATTTGAAAATGTGATTTATTGTGTTTAACAATTTGATATGTTGTGCTTAAAAATTTAATATATTGTGCTTTTAATTTTGATATATTGTGCTAAACATTTTAATATGGTTTGCTTGAAATTTCATATATTAAGCCTAACATTTTAAAATTGATGCTTATATAAGGATGTTAAGATATGTTTTTATAAAATAATGTATTTAACTATTAATCGTATTCTTCGTGGCATTTTTTCAACAATAAGCAAAACACATACCGCATAGCAAGTTATAAAATGCCGAGTAAAATGTCCATACATGACAAAGAAATTAAAATAATTGAAATGAAATTATTAAAAAAAAAACAAATGTGATATACGTTTTTTTTTTAATATGCGCTTGTGTCATTGGTTAACATTACAAAGTCGATTGTTAATCGTTGTAGATCAATCGATTATATTTCAGTGTATTTGTATGTATTTATAAATACATATGACAAATAATTCCTGTTCAACAACATCAATAACTGGGTCAATCATTGGTGTCCTTTAAATACTCACTTATCAGCGTTATGAAGTAAATACCTCAAAATTACACATGTAAAACATACCTATTTAACCTAACTATTGCAGAAAACCATCTTTGTATATATAATACAATTATTGAGTTCGAATAAATAAATAAATAAATAAAATTCTTTATTTAACGAAGGTAGAATAATCCTTGAGAGCTATGTATCATATTTCGTGCCCAATATTTAAGATTTGACATGTTGTAACATGTTTCACATACACTCCTGTTATCTATGTATACTATATGTAGTTTATATGTTGTATGCCTATAGTTATTATTACTTTGGTATATAAAGATTATTACCATTTGATACCTTTTTATTCATAATCCATAAAATATTATACGTCATTTCATCTTATCTTTACAAGACGTCCATATGTGTTTACAAATTGATAGTATTTAACAATAAGATTATGATTAAAAGACTGGAATATTCCATCTGTATTACTTATGTTGATTAATAATATTTAATGTGTTATGTTATTTCATAAGTTTACAAAAAAAAAAATACCTTCTTATTCTAGTCCACAAGGGAAGTAAATTATTTTTGCGCATGTCTGAATTTTGATTAGAAATCATTACAAATATTAGATTTCCAAAAAACTAGTCGGACACATATCTACTTACTGAGGTCAGGGATGTGTTACTAGATTTTGAACCTCAGATAACGTGGGTTTTGGTTTATTCTCGATTGTCCCACTTTTTAAAATTTTAGAGGTCGGATTGTCCCACATTACAAGTTCGGATTGTTCGACATTACAATTCGGATTGTCCAACACTTGTTTTGCAATATCAAATGAAAATAAATTAATATAGGAGCGGATTAATAGTTGATATCAATTCTATACATTAAGATATGAATAGTTTAAAAAGTTATCAGCAAGAAAGGTCTTTTAGTTAAACACATAACATACAAAAGATATTTCATGATAATGTACATGTAAGGGTTATTTGTCAATCAAATATCATTTATTTTTTAATCTAAAAGTTATTTAAATTTAAACATTGTTAAGACAGAAGCACGCATTTTTTTCTTCTTTTTGTTAGTGCAAGCGCTGTTATTTGGTTTGGAGACTGATTAAAAAACATTAACAATCACATTGTTACATAATCATTAGAATTTGCATTACCGATTACAAAATAAACGCAAGGCGTCAACTTACATTCTTCCTTTCGGAGTAGAGGTAAATGTGTCTCAGTAATTTGATGGAAGTTCTCATAATTGTATTCATAACCGCAGACATAAACAGGTGTACAAGAGTACAATATAATTACAAACATAAGATAATACATAGCGAGACAGGACAGACAAAGCACAAATACATAGTATGTTATACAAAACATTTGATATAATTGATCAAAGTATTTCATAATATTCAATACGAACATTAATAATTTCTTTTGCACATTGTACATAACATAGGTTACAGGGGAAATTCAATTGAACGGATTCACAAACCTGATATTGAATGAACTAAATGATAAAATAAGTATTGATGAAGTGCAGCGAGCAGTCCGTAGCTTGAAATTGAACAAAGCAGTCGGTGTGGATGAAATATCAGCTAAACTTTTTAGAAAGATAACGTGTTACCGTTATTGCATAAACTATTCAATAAATGTTTTTTTCCACGGGAATAATTCCAGAGATTTAAGCTAAAGGAATTATACACCCTTTTCCGAAATCGTCTAGCGGAAATTCGCGGGATCCGCTGAATTACGGAGAGATAACGTTGGTTCTAATCCGTATAAACTTCACAAATGATACACGATGGTCTTCAAGTATAGATTCTTGGTACTGACGTTGTTTATCATCTAAATAATGTGTTCTAGTATCCTTTAATTTGCCTTTATGAATAACACTTTTACTGTTTAGTCTATTTTTGGTGATATCCATTTGACGTGACTCTGTACTTATACATCCCGTCATTGTGTTATTGTTCTATAATAAATTCTGTATTCTAGTCTTTCATTTTTGCTAATGTGCTTTGTCTATATGCCTTTTTGTGTTTCCTTGATACATATGACGTGGATCTGTACTTTAACATCCTGTCATTGTGTTATTGTGTTATTGTAAATTTTTGTATTCTTGTCTTTCATTTTTGCTAGTGTGCTTTGTCTATTTGCCTTTTTGTGCTTCTTTGTTACAAATTTGTTTGTGACAGTTGTTATCCATTCGTTTGATGTGTTTGAGCTTTTGATTTTGCCATTTGATTAGGGACTTTCCGTTTTGAATTTTCCTCGGAGTTCAGTATTTTTGTGATTTTACCTTTTCCTTTATGTTATAAACTTTATTGTCATGTGTTTAATAATAGACTGAATGAATGGTAATCCGAGAATAACATTTTATGTGATGTTCAGAACGCTTAAATCAATCATAGAAACCAGAAAATGTAACCGGCTATCAACATTTGTTGAATTTATAGACTTCCGCAAAGCATATGATTGTATTGATCGTACCATTTTATTTCGTAAACTTCAAAGTACTAGTATTGGTATTCAAAGGAATATATATATAACTCTATCATATCCTTGTATAAAAGTGTGTAATTGTGTGTGAGAATAAATGGCTGCAAAACAGACTGGTTTAAACAAGGCTGTTTGTTGTCGCCGTTACTCTTCAATTTCTATATTAATGACCTAGTGACACATTTAACATCTTTAAATTTAGTTAATATTGGCGGAGAAAAAGTTTCGGTGTTATATGCTGACGACCTAGTGTTATTTGCCAACCATGAAAGTGAACTGCAGACGTTATTGGATTCAATGAATATATGGTGCGTCAACAACAAAATGACAGTGAATGGAAACAAGTCAAATGTCGTACATTTTCGTCCAAATTCTTCACCAAGATCTGAATCGAATTTTAAAAATATGGTAATATAACTTTGCAAACAGTCGATAAGAATACCTTTCTTGGACTCGTATTAACGGATCATTTGGAATAACAGATCATGACTAAACATGTTGCAGCTGCCGCAGAGCTTTAGGACTTTTAATTTCGAAACACAAAGCGTTTGGATGTTTTCCGTTTCGCAACTTTCCCAAACTATACGATTCAACAGTTTGGAGAACTATCAGCTATGGAGCTGCAGTATTGGGAGATAAAAACTTTTCTTGTATAAACGCGGATCATAATAAAGCGAGTCGCTTTTTAAAAAAAAAAGAGTACATAATACGCCTATTTCTAGAATAAGAAAAAAATTTCAAGAATTTTCAAAGCGCTTTGTTTTGTACCTGCTGACAAAGAAACCAGCAATGTGGTGATGGTATGCCGTAAATACTACACGGACGTTCTTAAAGGGGCATATGCTGTCATATTCATGTTCACCGATTTGATTTATAACAATGTCAAACATTTATTCAAATTATAAAACGTCTAGAATAAACAATTTACAGGACATGGGCTCGGTAATATGTAGCTTCGTTTCGTGTGTATTTTAGTCTAGACGCCATCTAATTAAATATCAAGTTGACATCCGAAGACATCCAATGGTCATATAAGCGATATATAAACATACATATAGATATAAATAGATAGATAGCGAACTCATGCAATTAGATTTTTCTAGGTCCGTTTAATTTCATATTACAAATTAAAAAATATATGTTAATCATCGTTTTTACCTGTATAAGAATGATTTTTTGTGGATCGAATCAGTCAATCAAATGATTTACCTTTGTTTCACTTTCAATGTTGACATTCTTTTCCTTTAAGTAAATGAACGCGCACAATTCATGCGTTATCCATTTCTAGCTAAGGGGTTAAATTGAAGTTCACATGAATACGGATTCAATGAGGTCGAATTATTCACTTGCAAGTGAATATTTCATCATCAATGTTTCTTAGCTTATTTTGACAAAATTGAACCATACTGACTGTTAAAAGCAAATTAGTTTTTCACTATGATTGAACAAAAAAAATTATATTTTAGATTTTTTATATGTCTCGTAGCTAGTGTCCCTTTCAGAATAAAAGTGTAAAAAATTCTTTGGATGTTTTAGATAAATTACTTGCTTTTGGCATGTTTGGTGGTTCTTTTTATTCTGTGGTCAGTTTTGATTTTTCAACTCTTTACACTAAATTTCCACACTATCTTATCAAACAAAAGTTTTCCTATTTAATTCAATAGTTGTTTAATAAATCTGAATGCAAATATGTGTCATTTTTTAGTAACAACAAACAAAAGAACTATATCAATTGGACCTGCTTTGAAACTATAACTTCCCTTGAATTTTTACTAGATAACATTTTGGTTCGCTATGGAGATTCCGTATATCGTCAGGTTATCGCAATTCCCATGGGAACTTACTGTGCACCACTTATTGCGGACCTGTTTCTGTATTGTTATGAGTTACAATTTATGACTAAAATCAGCAAAGACCCATCGAAACAACATCGGATTCAAAAATTTGATAACACTTTTAGATATTTAGATGATATATTGGCTCTCATTAATGACGACTTCAGAATGTACACTAAAGAGATTTATCCTGCCGAACTGACTTTAAATAAAGCTAATACTAACAATGAACACTACCCTTTCCTAGATCTTGATATCTATATCTTTAATGGGAAGCTCAATACCAAAATTTATGATAAAAGAGATGATTTTTCATTTCCTATTGTTAATTATCATTTTTAGATGGTGACGTTCCCTTGTCACCATCTTATGGTGTTTATATATCTCAACTTGTTCGATTCGCTTGTGTATGTAACAACGTATTTGATTTCAACGAAAGAAATCTCTGTATTACTGAAAAATTATTACACCAGGGTTTTCGATATCACAAACTAGTCAAAACATTTACTAAAATTTATCATCGGTACAAGGACATCATTCGTAAATATAAATCAACATGCAGACATCTTATACGTTCAGGTATTTCACATCCAATATTTTATGGTAATAATCGTTTCAAAACACAAAAATGTCGGCATTCACCTCAAAAGCTAACCAAACCTTTAAACAGACTTATTCGGAAGGGATATAGTTACGATACTGTTGTCAGATCTTTAAGGATTGCATATTTTAGTATTAATATTGATTCGCTCATAGGGTCTTTGCATCGGAAATAAACACATTTATTCTAAAACCAGTTGTTGGCATGATACGGGTTATGTTCTTCTCATATATTTTATGATGGTATGAGTCTAAACCACTAACGGGAGGGATTGTACCTGATTTTCATATGATAAAGACATAATCTTTCAATCAGTTTAATTGAGGTCTGGAGCTGGCATGTCAGTAACTGCTAGTAGTCCTTTGTTAATTAATGTATCATTGTCATTTTGCTTAGTTTCTTTTGTTATCTATTCTGACATCGGACTCGGACTTCTTGCTATGTGTTTCTTTATTCTACATTGGCTAGGGGTATAGGTGAGGGTTGAGATCTCACAAAACATGTTTAACCCCGCCGCATTTTTGTGCCTGTCCCAAGTCAGGATCCTCTGGCCTTTGTTAGTCTTGTATGGTTTTTTTTAATTTTAGTTCCTTTATATGTTTTGGAGTTAAGTGTGACGTCCATTTTCACTGAACCAGTACA